GGTTTACTCCCCAAATGGTTGCAAAGGCCAGAGTAGAGCCAGATCAAAGCCAGGAACCAGGAGCTTTCTCTAGATCTCCCATGTGGGTGGAGGGGCCCAAAGACTTTGGGTCCTCTGCTGCTTTCCCAGGAGATGAGCTGGGAGGATTAGAAGTGGAACAGACAGGACTCAAACCGGCATCCACATGGGATACGAGCACCACAGGCAGAAGCTTAACCTACTATGCTATGGCATCAGCCCCTTAACAATAACTTTTGAAACTGAGCACTATATTGTCATGTTATTACTCATGTCCTCTACTTCTTATTAGTTTAGAATAGATCTATGCAATACTGGAATTTTTAAACAAATTGATAAGCTAGTTCTTAATGCAAGCTTAATAGTTATAAAGAGCTGTTACATCAGTCCTGGCATAGTAGCCTGGTGGCTAATTCCTCACCTTGCTTGTACTGGGATCCATATGGGCATTAGTTTGTGTTCCATCTGCTCTATTTCCCATCCAACTCCCTGTTTGTTGCCTGGGAAAACAGTAAAGGATGTCGCAAAGCCTTGGGACCTTGTACCCACACAAGAGACCTAGAAGATGCTCCTGGTTCCTGGCTTCAGATCAGCTCTGGCCACTGTAGCCACTTGGGCAGTAAACCAGCAGAGTGAACCAGTGGAAAGAAGATATTTTTCTCTCTTCCTTGCTCTCTGTAAATCTGCCTTTCCAACAAAAATAAATCAATCATTATTAAAAAAAAAACCTGTTACCTCAGTTTGACTCTTTATTAGGTATTTTTTTGTCTTCCATAATTTTAATTTACATGGATTTCATGATACCAATTTAGAAGCATATCAATACTCCTCATCCTACTCTTCCTCATTTCCACATTTCTTACCCACCCTATTTCTTCCTTATTTTTCCCTCCCACCTCCAATTTTTACAATGGTATCTTTTAATTTCACAATCATAGGCTTTAACATTCCCTTAGGTAAATATATCAACATATAGCAAGTAAGGAAAAAAAAAAACAATCTAGTATTCCTCAGGAGTACAGGCATAGGCTGTAAACAATAATCAATAATCAAATCCCAGAAGCTCCATCTCGCTCAGACAGATGATCTTCTTCTGTACAACATGGCTATTTGTCTTTTGTGGACTGGCTTTTTTTTTTTTAAGCATAATGGTTTCCAATTGCATCAATTCAATTGTAAAAGACAAGATTTCATTCCTTTTTATGGCTGAGTACTATTCTACAGTGTATGTACGTCATATTCTCTTTATTCAGTCATCAATCAATGGGATTTTGAGTTGATTCGCACTGTTGCCGTTGTAAACTGAGCTGCTGGACTGCTCCACCTCATGGCAGATCTAATTTTCATTTTTTCGAGGAAACTCCATACTGTTTTCCACTCGGCTGAGCTCATTTACATTCACACCAAGAGTGTGCAGTCCTTTTCTCCACATCCTTGCCAGTACTTGTTATCTTTTGTCTTTTCATAAAAGCCAATATAATTAGAGTGAATTAATAGTTCACTGTGGTTTTGATTTTCATTTCCCTGATGGTTAGTCACGTTGAATATTTCATGTATTTGTTGGCCATTTGGGTATCTTCTTTGCGAAACATCTGTTTTAATCTACTATTTTTAAAATTGAATTACTTGTTGTTTTTTGCTGCTGAATGGCTTGAATTCTCTCCATATTTTGGTTCTTAATTCATTGTTGGATGTATAATTTGAAAATGTTTCCCACATTTTGTAGGTTGTTTTTTCACTCTATCATTTCCCTTGCTGTACAAGAAGCTCCTGAGTTTCATAAAATTCAATTGGCCCAATTTGCATTCATAGATAGCCTTTATTTTTAAGCCTAATCCAAAACCTCCCTGCCCATCCCCATGTCCTGAGGTATCTCCCCCTTGTTCTAGCAGTTTCAATGCTTCAGATAGGACATTTACTTTTTTGGTCTATTTTGCACTGATTTCTGTACAAAGTGAAAAATGGAGGAGAGTGTCTAGCCTCAATTTTCTTCATCTGGATATCCAAGTTTCCCAACACCAGTTAATGAAAAGTTTACCTCTTTTCTAATGCATGTCCTTAGTACAACTGACAAAGAGCACTTGGTTATACAGGAGTCTGTTTTTATATACTGTTTACATTACTGTTTCTTTGTGGCATATTTTAAAGCCAAGCAGCAAATAAGTTTCCAGATCTGCTATTTTTGCTCAAGATAACTTTGACTATTAATGGTTCTTTGTGGTTCTAAACAAATTTAGTAGTAATCTTTCTAACTCTATGAACAATGTCATTTATTTTTTGACAGTGCACTAAATCTATGAATCACTTTGAATAAAATGGACGTTTTTGATACTGATTTTTTCAACCGATAAACACTGAATGTATCAGAGTAACTCCTTAGGATGAGTTCTGAAAAAATTCTTCCCTTTAAAAAAAAAAACAATGTATGAAGTTGGTATTCATTCTGCAACTATTTGGTATAACTTAGCAGTTAAGCCATTCTCGTGTACCACATGGGAGGCAGGGACTTTCTGTTGCTTTTCCAGGCACATTAGTTGGAACTGGCTTAGAAGCGGGTAAGTTGATACTCAGAGTGGCATTTTGATGCAGCATTCCAGCTTAACGCACTGCACCACAGTGATGGCTCCCTCTCTGCTTTTTTGACATAGGCATCAACTGCTATAAACTTCCCTCTGAATTCTTCTCTTGGGCTATCCCATTGGTTTTAGTATGTTGTATTTCCATTTTCATTCATCTCAGGAAATATCGGAATGTCCTTCTGATTTATTGGTTGCTTGGGAACAAGTTGCTTAATTTCCATATCTCTATAGCTTTCCATTTTTATTACTGATTTCCAGCTCACATGGTGGTCACAGCACTCGTCCAATGACCTCAAAAAAATTTGTTGGGATTTGTTTTGTGACCTTGCCGCACTCTGTCCTGGACAATGTTTCATGTGCTGTTGAAAAGAGCATATTCTTGCATCTGTTGAATGGAAAGTTCTGCCGATGTCTGTTAGATACAACTGATCTTTGGTGCAGCTTAACTCTGTCATTTTTCTTTGTTGATTCTCAGTCTGTATGACACTTCTACTTCTGAAAGTGGGGCACTAAAGCCCCCAACTGTTACTGTATTGGAATCTATCTCTTCCTTCATATTTATTAATGCTTGCTGTACGTATTTGGGGACTCTGGCATTGGTTCAATATATATACATTTATAAATATTAGTTCCTTGGCTGAACTGAACCTTCTATCACTATATAATAAGCCTCCTTGTTTCTTTTTACTGCTTTTCATTTAAAATCTTCTTTTTTAAAAAGCTAATATACATATTGCTCCACTTCTGATCAGCTCCCTGCTGATGTGCCTGGAAAAGTAATAGAAGACAGACAAAGCATTTGGTGTTTGTTATCCATGTGGGAAACCTGGATGGGCTCCAGGCTCCTGGCTTCAGCTTAGCCAGCCCTGACCATTGCTGCCATTCAGTGAGTAAACCAGTCGATGGAAGATTCTCTCTTTCTCTCACTTCCTCTCTGTCTCTATTTCTGTCTCTCCCTTTCTATGCCACTGTTTTTCAAATGAATAAACAAATTATTTTTTAAATTATAAATAAAGTTATTTATGTAGAACAAAGTTAGAAACAAATCCAGAGAGATAGTCGGGTATTTGAAATATACTTGGCCATGAGGCCATCCATCTATCCTCTTAACTAGAACAGAAGTCAGCCTTTTTTTTCTGAAAAGGTCTACATAGTCAATATGTCAGGCTTTGAAAACCAGTCTGTCGCACAATCACAGAACACTGTCACTGTGGCATCAAAATATTCACAGACAATAAGTGAAAAAAAAATGGGGCCAGTTGCTGCTGCAGCGTAGTAGACTACTTCTCTGCCTACAGTGCCAGTATTCTATTAGGCACCAGTTTGTGTCCTGGCTGCTCCATTTCCCTGCTTATGACCTGGGAAAGGAGTGAAGAATGGCTCAAGCCCTTGGGACCCTGCACCCTTTGTGGTAGACCCAGAACAAGCTTCTGGCTCTTGGCTTTACATCAGCTCAATTCTGGCCATTGCAGCTATTTGGGGAAATAACCAGCAGATGAAAGACTTTCTCTCCTTATCTCTTCTTCTCTCTCTGTAAAATCTGTCTTTCAAACAGAAATAAATAAATCTTTTGAAAAAAATGAGCAAGTCTGTATTTCAAAACTTTATTTATATAAACATGCACTGAGCCAAGGTTGAACTATGAGTCAGAGTTAACCAAACCTTACACTATACTATGGCTTTTAAAGTTTTTTCCTAAAAAAATATAATATATATATATATCTTATATATTATATTTTATTTATATGTTTTTATTTATATATTATATTTTTATTTATATATTTTATCACTTGTTCGTACCATGTAGTAGATTGTGGCCATAATAAGAAGCCATGACTTCTTAACATCTCCATATATTCCTATCTGAGCTGGGGGTATCAACCTCAACTCTGAGCTGGGCATCCAGCACATGAACTAGCTCAGGCCAATGTGCTGAAGACCATCCCCATTACCCAAGCTGACAGTGAACATTCACTGGCAGTGAGTACCAACTGCCAACCACATGAGTGGAGCCATCTTCAATCAGCCAGCCCCCAAGACAACCTACAAGGTAACCAGAGCCACGTGAGTTAGTCTGGGAGAAACCAGTAGAAGAACCACCCAAGCTGAGCCCAGTCTAAATTGCTGACTAATAGAATCATAAGCTAATAAAGTGAGCATTTTTAGTCCCAACTACTAGGGTAGTTGTTCCACAGCAGAAGCTAAGTGATGTTTTCCATAGCAAGTTTATTATCTTCAAATATAAAGGGAGAGGTGACTAGGTATAATTATAGAAACAGTAAACAAAATTGAGGAAACGCAGACACATGAAACACTGTATTTCTGTATTGAAGTTCTAGTAGCCACCAGCAGAGCCAAAGCTTTCCTTGTTTCCTTAGTGTTGTGACAGAAAAACTTTCCTACCTGAACAGACTTCCTTATAAGTGGGATTAGCAGTATAGCCTCCTGCAAAACCAACTTGAGTTGAATACACTCCTTTCAAGGTCCAGAATTTCCTTTCAGCTCCCCAGAAGCAGCCCATTCCTAGGGAAAACATAAGACATGGATTAGCCATTATCCAAAGCAAGGAGGTCGTTACACAGACAACACCTGTCTCACTACAAAAAAAGGGGCCCAGCGCGATGGCGCAAGCAGTTAAGGTCCTCACCTTGCACGCCTCGGATCCCATATGGGCGCTGGTTCTATCCCGGCAGCCCCTATTCCCATCCAGCTCCCTGCCTGTGTCCCGAGAAAGCAGTCTAGGACGGCCCAAAGCTTTGGGACCCTGCACCCGTGTGGGAGACCCGGAAGAGGCTCCTGGCTTCGGACTGGCATAGCATCAGCCGTTGCGCTCACTTGGGGAGTGAATCATCGGACGGAAGATCTTCCTTTCTGCATTTCCGCCTCTCCAATAAAAATAAATAAATAAATAAATAATAAAAATAAAAAAATCTTAAAAAAAGAAAAGTTGCTCCTGCTATTTTGGTGATCAAAAACGGCTAAGAATTTTGTAAAGAAGGAGCAGCTAACATTCCAAAATAATTTTACTTATGGTTATTTGCACAGGATATTTCTTTTACCTGTGCAAAATCTAGCAAGCCTGAGGTTTTAATGGAGTTAGTAAATATCAGCAGAAAAGGATAACTGAATTTCATGAATAATTTTTACACTCAATTCCCAATTTAAACTCATATAAACTTACACATTAATCACTTCCTGGTAATGCTTTTAAAAATATTTTTTTTAAAGATTTATTTTATTTTTATTGGAAAGGCAGATATACAGAGAGGAGAGACAGAGAGGAAGATCTTCCGTCCGATGATTCACTCCCCAAGTGAGCGCAACAGCCCATGCTATGCCGATCCGAAGCCAGGATCCAGGAGCCTCTTCCGGGTCTCCCACGCGGGTGCAGGTTCCCAAAGCTTTGGGCCGTCCTCGACTGCTTTCTCGGGACACAGGCGGGGAGCTGCATGGGAAGAGGGGCCGCCAGGATTAGAACTGGCGCTCATATGGGATCCCAGGCGTGCAAGGCGAGGACCTTAACCACTGCGCCACCACGCCGGGCCCTTAAAAATATTTTAACAAGAAAAATGCAGCACTATGTGATCAATTTTAATGGGAAAACTTCCAACATCAGCATACACTGATGCAGTATTTTTCAATGAACAATTTTACATATGTGTTCAGATTTTCAAATTGCTTCAATCATTATAAGCTTGCATTTGATAAATCACTACTCAACCCAAAGGGTACTTTCCTGACTTTTACTATTGAATATAATGAATGAAGACAGGCAAGGTGTGCAAGTAAGCAGGGAGGAAAGGACGACAAACTCACAAAGACAGCATTTTGTTCAACCAGTGCACACTGTGTCAATATCAGTTATTATTAGAAGGTTTGTTTGAACATGTGATGGAAACTAAGACCTGTCACTCCATGACATAAATATTCACACACATAAACTCTGCCTTGTATTTACTGAGCTCCCAATGAAGGCCTCTCCCCTTCCCGGTACGTTTCTGCACTGTCTAGTGCAGCTGCTGTCCTGTGGACTATCTGCAGACGTGAGCAGGGCTCCTGCCTCACGCAGCTTGCACGGCTCTATTGAGTTGCATGTAACTAAGATGTCGGGTGGGACAACAGTTGGTAAATGAATACACGCCTCCTATTCCTACAATTACTAGATTTTCTAGATGCAATGACAGAACTGAAAGAAAAATCAGAAGTCTCCTGAGATTTTGAGTCTACTTTAAAAACCCAAAGCACTAATGACTCTTTTAAAGGACTATACTATTGTAATGATATAGAGGAAATCAGTGGGGAGAGGAGGTCTAGGGAAGCAGGAGGGAAATCCCAGAACCTACAGAATTATATCATAAAATAAACAAATTTTAAAAATAAATAAGAAAATAACAATAAAATTAAGGCTTGAACACAAAGACTTAAAAAATCCAAAACAACAATATAATATGCACAGATATGAATAATACAGAAGTATTCCACTTACTAAAATGTGAACGGAAATCTAACCAAACATAGGCTAACAGCTACAAAGTATAGAGAGCCAAATATCAAAATACAATACAGCAAAAATTACCGTTGTGATTATACTGCAATACAGAAAGATGTATGTGATTATATCATAATTACTTAAGTCTAAATTAAACCATAAAAACACAATTATGCGTATGCTTTTATTATAATCACAAAAACAATTCACACCAAAATAGAGTGGAAGGAAATATACTAAAGTTATTGTGGTGAAGTTTATTACACCGGTGAGAGTATAGGAATATTTTTCCATTTTTAAATTTTACTGTAATAGATCCTATTATTTTGAAAATGAAAAATGTATGTACTTTTAAGGAAAAGCAAAAAAAAAAAATCCAAACACACAGAGTAAGAATATGCATTACTGAAATTACACTCTGTTATATCATATTTCCTATTTATAAGTAAATTTGGGCTACTAGTGAATATTAACTGAGTATTTGTAAAACTTGAGTATCCCCCTCATCTCTGGCACAAGACTGCCCTTTTAATTTTATTTTCTTACATTCCCTGTGATGAGAGAATGATGCCAAAGAATTTCTGGAAAAGGCAGGCAAAAGGCTAGTTCAACAGCTTCCCTGGACATACGCGGCTGTACATGCCCTGAGCTGAAGGCCTTTCTCTGGGAAAGCTCAGGGAGCTGCAAGGTCTGCTGAATAAAGTATTTTGGCATTGCACATGATTAATTAATAGTGTATAAGGGATAAAACAGGCTATTTTAGCAGTCAACCTGTCCTGACGTTTGTCCAAGATCCCACTCAGAGGGTCCCATGCTCTTAGGGTCATCTATCCTCGCGCTACAGTAGACCCCTTCAATGGCTTTTGCTTCCTGTAGCTCTAGTAATCCTCAACCCTTCACAGTCTGAAAACATTAAACAAGAATTTCCCACACCATCCCACACTTTTGGCCAGCGTATCCATACTCTTAGCCCATTAGTCACTGAGTAGCCTTCTTGGTTAGCAGATCAAATGCCATGGTATAATAGCACTTCCATTCAAGGAGCTCTGATTTTACTTAACAGTGTCCCTGAAGCACTACTACAGTGGTCCCTGAAATTCAGTTATGTCAAGAAGAAGCCATACAGTACTATACATATAGTTTGGTGCTGTCCAAGGTTTCAGGCATCCTTTGGAAGCCTTGGAACATTTATTCCATGAATAAGGGGCAGGGGGTGACTAATGCATAGATTTCCAAAACCTAAAATGTTCTTGATTAAACATAGCAAAACGCTAGATTCAAGTGAGAGAGAACTCTCTTTCAATCTTTAATGGGGCACATGAAATGGTCTTTCCTGGAAGGAGAATCCTCAGGCTTCAGGATGGCAAGGGATCTCAGGATACCACATGTGACCAAAATAATACCTCAGGGACTTGGTGCATGGTGAGTGGGTGAATGTGCAAATTTCTGGAGAGGTATTAAACTGGAGAGATTATTAGTTGTTGCAACACAACCCCTCCTTGAAGAAGTGCTTTATCTGGCAATTTCAGTACAATCTGTGGTGTATAAGTGTGAATAGGTGAATTTATAAAAAGAAAACAATCTTTTTTACAGCACAATTTCAGGTAACTTTCAATAGTCCCATAGTGAACACAAATGTCTGCAAATAAAATAACAGTATACACTATCTTCTTTAAAATCCTTACACTTGGGCCCGGCGCGGTGGCGCAGTGGTTAAGGTCCTCGCCTTGCACGCCCAGGATCCCATATGGGTGCCGGTTCTATCCCGGCAGCCCCACTTCTCTTCTAGCTCCCTGCCTGTGGCCCGGGAAAGCAGTCAAGGACAGCCCAAAGCTTTGGGACCCTGCACCCATGTGGGAGACCCGGAAGAAGTTCCTGGATCCTGGCTTCGGATCGGCATAGCATAGGCCATTGCACTCACTTGGGGAGTGAATCATCAGACGGAAGATCTTCCTCTCTGTCTCTCCTCTCTGTATATCCGCCTTTCCAATAAAAAAAAAATAAAAATAAATCTTTAAAAAAAAAATCCTTACACTTGGAATCATTTATTATAAAACAAAACACACTGGGCCCAGCAGGAATAATAAAATAAAATTATAAAAATAATAAAAAATAAATTTTTAAATAAATTTTAAATAAAATTTTCAATAAAATAAAAAATATTTTATTTTAAATAAATCTTAAAACACATACACACGGAACACTGTTGTGACATAGCTGGCTCAGCTGCTTCTTATAATGTCAACACACCCTATCAGAGCTCTGGTTCAAGTCCCAGCTACTCCACTTCTAATCCAGCTTCCTGTTAATGCACCTATGAAAACATTAGGAGCTGGTCCAAGGACTTGCAGTCTGTCACTCACATGGGAGGCCTGGATGATATTCCCCTCTCTCTCATTCATCCTCCTCTCCCCTTTTTCCTTTCTCTCTCTGCCTTTGACATATATGTATGTACATATGTGCATGTATATATATACATAAATATTCAAATAAAAAATAGGCCTTTAATCATTGACCATCAGGTGACATCCCCCTAGACGAATGACAAAACCCACGTTTTAAAGGATTGCTGTGTTTGTCCTCCAATGAGGTCAGACTGCATTCGCCAAGCACAGTAGTAGAGTATAATCAGCAAACTATGGCTGTAGATGATAGTGCTTTAGGCCAGGTGACAGCAGGGCAACTCATGGGTCATAAGGCTGCATATAGCACCCAAAATGATTTACCAAACACTGGAAGCATGGAGTCTTACTGGAATCAAAGAGGTCAAGATAACTCTAAGATTATTGGCTTGAGTGGAGACCTCATGGATGGGGAGGACGAAGGGTCCACCATTGGAATCATAAATATCCAACAGAGTAATTTTTCTTAAATTATACTTTTCTTGGTCCATTATCACCAAAATCTAGTTTAATAACAGTTTATCACATCCCATAAATTATCTTAAAATTCTGATTAAATTTATATAGGACTTTTAAATAGATTTGAAAATATTTTGTCATATTAATAATATTGAGTCTTCTTGTCAGAGGAC